CAGCCGTGGCTGACGCCGAGACCTCCCTCCTGTGCCACGTCGGGAGGTTCTTCCCCGTGGATGTTGACATGGCGTGGCTGAGAGACGGGCAGGTCCTGAAGGGCTCCACCCGCTCCAGCCCCCAGAGGAACGCGGACGGGACCTTCAACCTCACCCTGACCTACACCTTCACCCCCACCCTCAGCGATGCTGGCAGTGTCTTCTCCTGCCGTGTCCGCCATGCGGCACTAGAGCAGCTGCAGCAGGAGGACATCCCCCTGGACATCCTAGGTGAGAGTCCAAGCTGGGACCTGCCTCCTTCCCTGACTCTAGACATGGAAGCAGTTCCCTTTCCTTTCCTGGAGGTAGCACAGAGGTGCTCCAGGCCAGTGTTCAGGCAGTGCTAAGCTGAAGACCAGCATGGTGTGGGGCTGCATTAGCCAGTGGCAATGCTCCTTCCCTCGTGAAGGAGCTGAAGCACCAAGGAGCAGAGGTACACAGTCCTGGAGGGGCCTCCTGGGCTGCTGTGTCCAGGCCTCTGTGTTCCTAGTGCATGGCCGGCCCCAGCGATCCCCAGCATCCCAAAGCAAACCCTGGTCCATGACTGTGAGGGCAGCAGCTGGGGCATAAATGATGCCAGGCCATGCACCAGAAGTAGCTGCAGGGGAGATGAGGCCCTGCACATGCCCTGCCCCTGCAGCCAGAGTGAGGAGGGGATTCAGGGTGGGGGCTGGCTCAGGGGTCTCCAGCAAGACCCTGCACCCTCCAGAATACTCCCACAGGATGAGCTGTGCCTTGTTCTCTCCTCCCTCTACCATGCACAGAAGCAGATAAGACTGGCACCATGGTTGGTGCCATCCTGGGGATCCTGATTGGAGCAGGAGCTGCAGCCGCTACAGCCATTTACTTCTGGAGGAAGAGAAAAAGAGGTAGAGCGGGAAGATGCTGCTGGGCTGCAGGGTCACAGAGGGAGGGGATGGGCCAGAGAGGGCAGAGGGCGGCAGTGACAGAGTAGGGACATGTGGGGGTGGAGAGGATACGTCTGTGATTCCCAACCAGACTGGAACCCACACTTGACAGGTTTCCCAGGTGATCAGAGCTGGAGGAGGGACCACCACCACGTTACTTATTGAAGAAAATGGGAAAAGATAGAGTGGGAAGATGTGGTTTGGCTGCAGAGTCACAGAGGCAGGGGTGGGCAGCGAGGGTGGAGGGCAAACACAATGGAGCAGGAACACAGTGTCATGGCCAGGCTTTTCCCACAGGAAGTACTGCCCTACCCCAGGCAGGTTTCATCCCATGGTTCCCTGCCCAGGGCTCAGAGTGGACATGTCCCCAGGATGATCCCAGGATGACTCATGTCCTGTGTGTTTGTTGCTTGGCCCCCAGGCTGGGTGGTCTCCTACAATGTCGCAGAGGTGCAGGGGCCGGAGCGGTGCCTGCTGGGCCAGGAGGTGACCCTGCGCTGCTCCATGGAGGGGACGTTCCCTGAGGACGTGGCTGTGACATGGGAGAGGATCCACAGCGAGGACAGGACGGTGCCTGAGAGCGCTGGGGACCAGGAGAGCCCCGAGCACCAGCCGCTGCTCCCCGCCCTCCCCCCGGGCTGGAGAGTGACCCCCCAGCCCCTGCTCCCCGCCCTCCCCCCGGGCTGGAGAGTGACCGAGGAGAGAGCTGGGACCCGCCTCACGTCCTCCCTGACCTTCACCCCCACGCTGCAGGACGACGGGGCGCGGGTCCGGTGCGTCTTCCTCCACGAGGCCAAACGGATCAGAGAGGAGCGAGTGTCCCCGGAGATCCGGGTGTGGGGTGAGTGCCCAGCGCCCCAATACCACCTCTGAGTGTGGTCAGAGACTGCTGCTGTCATGGAGGGATGGGACTGAGAATGAGACAGCTCCTGGGGGTGGGCAGGTCTCACCCACCCCACCCCACATAGCTCCCAGGGGGGCCCAGCCATCCATCACTGCCAAGTAGGATCCCAGCAGTCTCTTGCACTGACACCCCCACTATCCCCCCAGCCCGGCCGCAGCTGTCTGAGATCCAGGTGTTGCCAGAATGGGACCCCCGCGACAAGGTGCCGTTTGCTGTCCAGCTCCACAACTTCTACCCCAGGGAGGTGCCCCCGATCCAGTGGAGCTGGGACGGGGCCGAGAGCTGGAGGGAAGACCCCGCGCAGATAGACAGGAACGCAGGCGGCACGTTCACCGCGACGAGCGTCTGGAGAGTGCCCAGCCGGAGCCCGACCCGGCCGGAGCTGCGAGTGCAAGTGTGCGTCCAGCACGGCCCCGGAGAGCCCCCGATGGAGATGAAGCGCAGCCTGAGTGCCGCGGGTGAGAAGGGGCCGTGTCCTGGGGTCCCAGCCCCGCTGCAGGGGTGTGGGGTCTGTGTGGTGTGTGAGGGGCCGGGGAGCAGCCCCTGCCAGGCCGCGGCTCCCCTGACGGGGCCTGTCCCTGCCTCTGCCTGTTCCCTTCCCCAGGTGTCCTGCGGCCCCCGGACATGTCCAAAATCTCCCAGACTGAGTCCATGGACAAGGGGAAGGGAGTCATCCTGAGCTGCTGCATCACGGGGCATTTCCCGGGGGAGCTGAGCGTGACCTGGCTGCGGAGGGGCAAGGGGGAGGACACTGCTGTGATCCTGCGCGACTCAGAAGAGTGGAGGGTGGAGCCCGGCACGGCCGTCCTGGCACGGGACGGGAAGAGCTTCCAGCAGGAGACCAGACTCATCCTCTTAACTTCCAAAGACCAGGGGTCAGAGTACATCTGCCGCGTGGGACACCTCGCCCTGGAGACCGCCATTGAGAGGAGCAGCAGTAAGCAGTAGGGGACGGGACAGGCCCAGCACCTGTTCTGGGATAAGGGGCCTTATCATAGGCCCCGCTCTGGTTTTGGTCGTGGTCGGTCCATAGGGGAGCTGACCTGCCTGTTGCTTGGCCCAGCCCAGAGGGAATGTGACCCCCTTGACCCTGCCTGACCCCTCTCTCCAGGCCCTCAAGGAAGCTGTCTGAGGCAGGAGGTGCCAGGTGCTGCACTGGCTGGATGAGGGAAGCCCACAGCAGAGGCTGCCAGGAGCTGGGCTCATGCCAGTTGGGATGGGGAGTGCCTGGGGACAGGGGCTGCCCACTGACCTGCCACTCCCACATATTGCAGCCTCAAGAGGCCTTTGGCCCCTATTTCCTGCCTCTGGGTCTCAGTTGTAGGGGGCAATTTCTGTGCCATTTGGGAACTTCCCCCTCCCAGTCAGCCTGTGCAGGCAGGGGAAGGCATCGAGTGTTCTCAGTGCCTGGGGCTGTGGGGTATGTGGGCTCCTGTCATGGCGGAGAGATCCTTGCAGTGACCTGTATGTCAACTACAGCTCCCAACCCCGGCCTGACTTCCCCAGCTCCATTATCTCTCCCAGCCCCAGGCTCCACTTCCTGAGGAGCAGGCTTCATCCTGGCACTGGCACTGGCACTGGTGCTCCCCCCATGCCCCAGCAGCAGATGCAGACTATGGTCCTACTGGACCCCCAGGAAGTCCACAGGCTCCAACTCTGCTGGGTAAATGGACCCACGGGCCCCAGACAGCAAGTCACGGGCTTGTTCTGCTTGTTTTCTAGGCCATTAAGCATCCGCCAGAGCCACAAACAGCTGTGGAGAGAGGAGGCAGCCAAGTATAGAGGCAGCATCGCTGGCACCACATCTCATGATCCCACCCAGGCTATGCCAGGGATGGTGCCCATGGCTGGGGTGGGTTGGGCTGAGGGATCAGGCTGGGGCTGGGACACAAGGCCAAGGGTTGGGTCATATCCAGGGCTCTGCTGAAGGAGGTTGCTCCTGCTGTCCTCCCTCCCACATGTGGGCTGTGCAGTGGGGCTGAGCAGAGAGCCCATGGGTGGGAGGTTTCTCTCGCTCTCTGCCCATAGGGGCCCAGCCCCATGTGGCCTAAGGGCTACCAAAATAAAGATAATAGTGCTAATGCTCACTCGCGCATGTCTCCTTCATCTCGGGCCTGGCTGCTGACACGTCAGCTGGAGCTCAGGCCCTGCTGTCCCTGTGCTGGGTGCCGCAATTGCAGGGAAAGGGAAGCTCTGGGTTCCTCCCTCCTCCTTCCACGGCTGCCAGCCCCTTGGCAGTCTTCCCCAACAGCCCCCAGAGCATGATGGTACTCGGCGCTGTAGCGGCAGCTCTGTGTTGGACCCTGCCAGGCAGGTACCAGCCCTCAGCAAACGGAGAGTGTCCAGCTGGGGCAGGGCAGGGGCGGACGGCCGTGAGCACAAGAGGCAAAGTCTGGGTCAAACACAGCTTGACCTCGAGAGGGCACAGAGGCCCTTGTCACATATCCAGTCAGTCGAGGGCTGAAGCTGCTGCCCACACACACAACCCTCCTCCCTGCCATGCACCATCCCTGGGGGATGCCCGTAACTGAATCTGGGACACGTGGGTTCTTCCAGGTGGTGTCGGGCCCAGTGGGAGGGATGAGCCACAGCACACAGCCACCAGCCAGGAGCCCCCAGCCACGAGGAATGCACTGAGGTATGCCCAGGGTCTGGACATGGGAACATGGAGGATGTGGCCCTGCCAGGATCTGCCTCAGCCCCTGAGACAAAGTAGGCTGCATGGGCTGGATCCAAATGCCCCTTTTGGAGGGAAGGAGAAGCCCCAGTGGGGAGCGCTTTCGTGGCTCAGCATGCACAGACTTTGCTCTAAGCAGTGTCGCACATGGCTTCTTGGCATCTAGCCACTCACCGTGTCCCAGCACAGGAAAACCAGCCAAAATAAACCCCACTTTCAATGGGGAACATCCAGGCAACCAACCCCCTGCACAATCTTCCCACTCAAAGCCAGAGGTGCCCTTGGGAAGCAGCCCCAGGAGGGCAAGAATTTCAGTGCTGATGTTTGTGTGAAATCTCCCATCTAGGAGCGGGCTCTGACCCAGGTTTTGTGGCTCTGTCCTGGCATGGCCATTGCCAGCAGACACCGCTGAGGCCTAGCACAGGGCAGTCTTGAAGGGGCGAATGGGTAACCCTTGGCATGTTGTACTACCCATAGTTGTGTCCAGATGTTCAGGACCTGGACGCTACAGCTAAACCTTTGGGCCCTTGCAGATGGAGGTTTCCCCTCAGACCAAGCCTCCCTGGGTCTCAGGCCACACAAGCATCCTCCCTTGCTGCATCTCTTTCCCCCAAGTGACAGTTGCAGCACAGTCCTTTCCCTGGCCACTTCTATGGGGTTTATCCCACTCTTTTACCAACCCAAATTTTCCAAACCCAGC